TGTGGAGATGAGTGTGTGGTCAGACTGCAGAGTTACTGTGAAAAACAAAGTCGACGTCGAAGTTTCTTGTTCTGCAAGTAGTGTGCGTTAAACCTGCTCAAAAGTCGTCTCATATATGCGTTGAGAACTCGTTTGCGTCAATAGTATCCATGTGAGGTGATATAGAGATATAGTGTGCGAAACGATGGAGTCGATGTATCTGCATTCGTCAATTGTACTCATTGTATGACCTTCGAAGTCGTCTTATACGGTCACTGCAATGGTATCTGCTTCAACTGTATGCATGTCAGATGCTAGATTGCAGAGTTACAGTGTGAACCTAATCGAAGTAGATGTGTCTTGTTCTGCGAGCTGTATGCGTTATATCTGCTTGAAAGTCGTCTTATATGGTCGATAAGAACTTGACTGCTTCAATAGTGCCCATGTGAGATGATAGGAAAGACAGATATAGTGTACAAGACGATGAAGTCAATGTATCTCCATTTGCCTATTGTACTCGTTATATACTCTTCAAAGTCATCTTATACGGTCACTGCAATGGTATCTGCTCCAACTGTATGCATGTCAGATGCTACACTGCAGATTTACTGTGTTAACGTAGTCGAAGTCGACGTTTCTTGATCTGCAAACTGTGTGCGTTATATCCGCTTAGAAGTCGTCCTATATGGTCAATGCGAACTTGTCTGCTTCAATAGTGTTCATATGTCAGTTGATAGGATAGAGATATATAGTGTGAACGACGATGAAGTCGATGTATCCCTATTTGCCTATTGTACTAATTATATACCCTCCAAAGTTATCTCATACGGTCACTGCCATCGTATCTGCTCAACTGTATGCATGTCAGATGCTAGACTGCAGAGTTACAGTGTGAACATAGCTAAAGTCGAAATTTCTTGTTCTGCAGGCTGTGAGCATTATAATCGTTCGGGAGTCGTCTCATATGGTCAATGCGAACTTGTCTGCATTGATACTGCTTATAAAGAGATGAAGTGTGCACAACGATTGAGTCGATGTCGTCTTATCCGGTCTCTGCAATGGTATCTGCTTCAACTGTATGCATGTCAGAATCTAGACTGCAGAGTTACAGTGTAAACATAGTCGAAGTCGAAGTTTCTTGTTCTGCTAGCTGTGGGCGTTATACCCGCTTGCAAGTCGTCTCATATGGTCAATGAGAACTTGTCTGCTTCAATAGTGTCCATGTGAGATGTAAGGATAGCAAGATATAGTGCGCACAACGATGAAGTCGATATATCTTCATTTGCCTATTGTACCCGTTATATACCCTCCAAAGTCGTCTCATTCGGTCTCTGCAATGGTATCAGCTTCAACTGTATGCATGTCAGATGCTAGACGGCAGAGTTACAGTGTAAACATAGTCGAAGTCGAAGTTTTTTTGTTCTGCCAGCTGTGTGCGTTATACCCGCTAGCAAATCGTCTTATATAGTCAGTGAGAACATGTCTACTTCAATAGTGTCCATGTGATATGTTAGGATAGAGAGATATAAGGTACACGACGATGAAGTCGATGTGTCTACTCTCGCCTATTGTACTCGTTATATACACTTCTGAGTCGTCTCATACGGTCACTGTCATCATATCTTCTTCAACTGTATGCATGTCAGTTGCTAGACTGCGAAGTTACAGTGTAAATATAGTCAAAGTCGAAGTTCCTGGTCCTGCGAAGTGTGTGCGTTATAACCGCTTAAAAGTCGTCTTATATGGTCGATACGAACTTGTGTGCTTCAATAATGTCCATGTGAGATGATAGGATATAGAGATATAGAGTGTAAAACGATGGAGTCGATGTATCCCAATTTGCCTGTTATACTGTTCACCCTTGAAAGTCGTCTCATACGGTCTCTGCCATCGTATCTGCTCCAACTTCATGCATTTCAGAAACTAGACTGCAGAGTTACAGTGTGAATATAGTCGAAGTCGGAGTATCTTGTTCTGCAAGCTGTGTGCGTTGTACACGCTTGGAAGTCGTCTTATATGGTCAATGCAAACTTGTCTGCTTCAATAGTGTTCATATGTCAGTTGATAGGATAGAGATATATAGTGTGAACGACGATGAAGTCGATGTATCCCTATTTGCCTATTGTACTAATTATATACCCTCCAAAGTTATCTCATACGGTCACTGCCATCGTATCTGCTCAACTGTATGCATGTCAGATGCTAGACTGCAGAGTTACAGTGTGAACATAGCCAAAGTCGAAATTTCTTGTTCTGCAAGCTGTGAGCATTATAATCGTTCAGGAGTCGTCTCATATGGTCAATGCAAACTTGTCTGCTTCAATAGTGTTCATTCGAAGTGATAAGAAAGACATATATAGTGTGTACGACGATTTAGTCGATGTATCCCCATCTGCCTATTGTACTCGGGAACTTCATTTGCCTATTGAACTCGTTATATACCCTTCAGAGTCGTCTTATACGGTCACTGCCAACGTATCTGCTTCAACTGCATGCATGTCAGATGCTTGACGGCAGAGTTACAGTGTGAACATAGTCGAAGTCAAAGTTTTTTGTTTCGCGAGCTGTGTGCCTTATACTCGCTTGGAAGTCGTCTTATATGGTCAATGAGATTTTGTATGCTTCAATAGTGTCCATGTGATATGATAAGATAGAGAGATATAGTGTGCACAACGATGAAGTCGGTGTATCTCCATTCGCCTATTGTACTTGTTATATACCCTCCGTAGTCATCTCGTACTGTCACTGCCATCGTATCTGCTCAACTGTATGCATGTCAGATACTAGACTGCAGAGTAACAGTGTGAACATAGTCAAAGTCGAGATTTCTTGTTCTGCAAGCTGTGTGCGTTATACTCGTTCGGGAGTCGTCTTATATGGTCAATGCGAACTTGTCTGCTTCAATAGTGTTCATTCGGGGTGAATGAAAATAAATGAAAATTTGAACGTTTCCAGTGCTCACGGCAGCTGTACATCGGTGGCACAGGGGTTGTGAGTAGATTGCGATTAAAAGAAAGGCAATTTTTGTAACATGGACAATCTAAAAAATTATTGTTATTTTTAAGTTAGAAAAAAAATGAATGAATCAAGTCTGCAAAAATTTGGACGCCACTGATTCTTTCAAGCAGTTCTTAGCTCTAGGTAAAAATCAGAAACCCGAAAAAGAAATGTTGACAAGTGGAATAAAAGCAGGAGTTTTACCTAGGAATTTTAATTTCATCTGAATTTCATTACCCATTAGTAATATGAATAACATGTATGTATGTACAGTGATTATTTACATGATTGAATCAAATATCCCTTACTCATGTGAAAAGTCCATAATTATAAGTTTATTTATCTTAAGAAGCAAAGAAAAAAAGAAACCCACCTGAAATGTTCTGCAAGTTAAAATTGTTTTCAGAATGTGATGACAAGTTGTCTAATAGTTAAAATACCCTTGGAAAAATTCATGAATTTTGTTTGGGCGCATGTGGTGTTAAAATTGATTGATCAGTAGGGCTTGGACAATATCGATATGATCAAATATATTATTATTATATGATGAAGACTATGGGAAATTGATTCAATGAGAAGCTAAACTAAAAAAAACTGGTCTGCAAGTTATCCAGTGTTGATCCATGAATCCATGGCATGGTTCATTCAAAAAAAAATGAAATCTCTTACAGTAGGTAGGTGAATGGAGAATATAGATGACCAATCATAGCTGGTAAGTAGGTAGGTATGTCAGTAGGTCTTTCTATGGTGCGGAGTGTGGGGGCCAAAGACAGCAGTGCCCTAGGTACAGATTACAGCCATCTGTACCTAGGGCACACAACCTCTGGCAGCAAAACTGGGAGCCTCACTCACCAGCACACCAGCAGAGTAGGATGAGCCCCATAACAGCATTTTCAAATCATCAGCGCAGGCCGAAGTGTCATCGTTCAAGGTGATGGAGAGTGTTCCAGGTAGAACCATACAGAAGAGCCCTAATAGAGTGAATAGAAAACATTCTACCTTCTTCAAAATAAATTGGAGTGAAAAACTCACCTCGAGGAGCACGAGGGCTCATAACCAAAAAATGAGTTGAATCGCCTGCGGTCAAGAAAGTCGAAAGATACAAAAAACATTTTTGAGTGGGATGCCTGGAATGCCAGCCCCATCTTTCCACACAAAAAACACTCTTTCAGAGTAATTTACTGAAAATTTTTGATTTTCTACCGAAGCATGCATCTTCTTGATCTAATGCTCAAAAAGAAGATGAAATCCGGAAAACAAAAAATTGGGAAAAATCTTTGACAAGATGACTAGATGCCAAGATTCCTGTCATGTTAAATTACCATCAATTGCGGAAGCGATCTGCGAAAATGTAGAGAATAAAATACTTATTTTATTGAATGAATACCCACAAGTATTGAGACGGATACTATATACAAGACAGGTAAGATCAACATATTTTTAAGAGAGTATATTGACCCAGTATCATACTATAGTCACTCACCTAGAAATCTAACGCTGTCATTCTATCTCTTGCAGGATTAGAAAATACATGTTATTTCATTCAAGATTTTCGAGATCAATCTTCTATGAAACACAATGCTATATGATGGTTGACTGATTGTTCAGACATCCCCACTAAGATATGGTAAAATCCTAGCAGCTAATAATTGACATGTAAGTTTATTATCATTGTGTATCAAAGTATTTTTCAAATGTATCACTATAGAATAGTTGTTTACTGAACCTTTTATTTTGTTACAGATTTCTGAGAAGCACTGCTAGAGGTGAATACAGTGAGAGACAGCGAGCATACAAGGGGTGCGTTCCACTAGGCGCTTGCAACGCTCAAAACGCTCCTTTAGTCGTTCCACATTGAGACCACGGTCGTTGTGGGCGTGCTGAATACGTCATAAATGACGTCATTGTATTCGATCACAACAAGCTTACGGCGACCCATGTCTTGAGGTGGGTATAAAGTGGCAAACGAGCGTTTTGAACGTTTTGAGCGCCTAGTGGAACGCAAACGCAGTGCAAGCTCAATGATGGCGACAGAAACAATAACGTTGTACGATTCAGAAAAAGATTCACTCCTAGATGTAAAAGTATCACCAGAAGATGCTGGGCGTGCAGAAAGAGGTAAATAATATTACAAATTGATGTATTATAAATCTACCGTTTTCTGTTATCCTGAAATTTGAATCATTTCAGATATATCTTTTGCTACAAAGCTTTTAAAAACTGCTCTACAACAACAGTCATCAGAATCTTGCATATCTGAAGATAGTTCTATGGTTGATGTTTCCCACCATGGTTCTATGATAGAAGATCAGGATGGAGAACATATAGCGGACACAACTGATCCTGATGAAAGTCTTACTGAAGCAACTGAAGGTATTTTCTATTAAGCTTCTTAATCATGACTTTTGTACTTATATAGCTTTCGCATATACCTAGGAAATAATGTTAAACTTTTCTTCCTTTATTTCAGTCTCCCTCCATAGGTGGAGTCCACCTTGTGTTATGTTATTATTGGAAACATACAGGAACATGGAGAACACTTTCAACAGTGGCAAATTGTCACATAAAAGTCTGTGGAAAAAATTTCAGAAGAGTTACTTGCCAAAGGATATAATGTCACGGGACAACAATGTGCTTCAAAACTGAGAAGCTCAAAAAAAACTTATGAGGCAACTAAAGACCATGATAATAAGTCTGGCAATGATAGACGTAACTGGCAGTTTTTTGAAGTAAGAAAAATGTAAAACAATTAACAAATGATTAATAGTACCTATTAATATAACAAATTACAGATAATGAATGAAATTTTCTCTGGAAAAGCATGGAGTAATCCTGTTGCCATTGCTTCTTCGACGGGTCTCTCTATTCAAACCAACACTTTGAACAGTGTTGAGGGGTCAGATAGTGGATGTTCAACAAGTATGTTTGAGTTGATGTTTTTGTATTTGTGTTGATGGTGACTGATAATATAACTTGATTGTAGACCAATCATCCACATCTGAACAGACCATTGCATCATTATTTGCGAAGAGATTGAAACAGAAGGAAGAACATGAAAGAAACAAGGCTGACCGACATAAAGAAAAAATGTAAATGGAAAAAAAGTGGTTAGAACTGTTACAACACAGGAGTAACAAATAACTTTCGTTTGGAACAGTTTCAAGAATTATGTTTTTTTTTTAGTAGTATTATTTGATACTGACATACAATGATACTACTTTTCATAACTGATAAAGTTCAAATGGTCAGAAGTTCTCATAAACTATATTATTATATTGTTGTGTTTCAAAGATATGTCAATAAGAAATGTTATTATTTTTTTATCACTGATGATAGTTCATAAGTTCTCCAAAACTTGAGTAACATGATATTTAAGAGTTTCTATAGCTTTATTTATTTTTTTAACATTATATTTCAGAATTGTGAAAACAAGTTTTCTGAAACTTGAGCTGTATTTTATTCGTTTGAAGGTTTCAAGAATCTTAATTCATTTTTGTATTATGTTTCAAAGTTATGGCAAGAATCAGTTCCAAGTCTTTCTGTGAATTTGGCTGTAATCATTAAATAAAGCAAAAATTTGATTTACATTACTTGTTTTAATTAGTGTTCCTTGAACATGTAATATTTTGATTTCATCATATTGATGATATGAGTTCATAGTGATTATAATAATTTGGAGAAAACAACAGTTGAATTTCAAAATGATAATATATTTACCAAAAAATGATGAAAATATCTAACTACTACAAAATCTCCATAATTCCATTTCGTTTATGAATTCCAACATTTTGTCCAACCCTGGGCTGAATATTTGCATTTCCTGGATTGAATTCAGCAATATTAATGACTTCCAGTTCATCTCGGTGCAGGATACAAACATTGTGAACAACACAACATGCAACAATATATTCAGCCATCAAATCCACTCTGGTCATTGGTAAACAATGAAGTAAACTCCTCATACGCCCTTTCAACAAACCAATACATCTCTCTATTGTTACTCTTGCAGCTGAATGGTGATAGTTGTGATTCTTCTGCCTTTCTGTTAAGTGTCCATTATCTCGGAATGGAGTCAATAAATGCTCATGTATTTCATAGGCTGCATCACCCAGAATATGACTGTTACTAGGAAATTTTTCATTGTCATTCAAATAGTCATTAACTTCAGACAATCGAAAAACTCGTTGGTCATGTACAGATTCAGGGTGTCCAACATAACAATGTGTTATTGAAGCCTTATGGTCACACACTAGCTGTAAAAAATGAATGAATTAGATACACAAATTTTCATTTTCAGGAAATCACCTGTCACTATAAGTAGGTAGGTACATAAAAGTTGTTAAATACCTGTAACTGAATGGAATGGAAACCTTTACGATTGACATAATCTGCTGCATTGTCTTTTGGAGCATCAATATGGATGTGGGTGCCATCAATAGCTCCAATAACTTTTGGAAATCGACTAGCTATTTCAAATCCTTGCATCACATTAATAGCATGATCTTCACTAGGCCACTGAATAAATGTAGGAGCTCTTATAAATAATGCATGAGTAACTCGTCGTACAGCTCTCACAGCAGTAGCTTTTCCACTATTGAATCTGTCACAAACTGATCTAAAAAAGTGAAAAGGTAAAAATTCTATTCAACATGATGTAGCGTTTGAATTTGCTGAGCATAGATTTTTGATTTAGTTTTCATGGTACCCTAAGTAAACATTCAAATAATATCATCAAGGAGGCATACTTACAGAGAGCACTAAGTTAGGAGATCAATGAACATTTCTCATGAGATGAAACATTTATTGATAGGTAAAACACTCATACACAGTTTCCTAATATCATTTCACCAGACACCACGATTCTTCAGACGTTCAGTACACCTGTAGGAAATGATGAAAAGCCTCAGGCTGTGCTGATCCAAGTAAACAGGTTCTGAAAATGAAGAAGGTGATATAATATATTTTCATTTGAAGGCTTTTGTTTGCTTTTGTCTGATGCACTTGTTGGGGAAAACTGTTGACTTACCTGTAGTGTTCTCCAGCGGTGGTGATGTGAACAATTGATTGATTATTCTGAGGATTATTTGGGTTTTGGTGTAATCCTTTGAATAATTTGGTTTTTCTTTTATTGGCTGAAAATATAGGTTATGCATTCCTTCCGCACGTCAGTGTCAACACTGTCACTTAACAGTGTCAGCGCTGTCACTTAACAGTGTCAACACTGTCACTTAACAGTGTCAACGCTGTCACTTAACAGTGTCAACGCTGTCACTTGCCTTGGATGGAGATCATCTTAGCACAGTCTTCAGAAGCAGCATCGAATCAACGAAGAAGAAGTCGACCATTCTTCTTTTATTTTCTTCTGATCTTCTTAAAGTTTTGTGAGATATGAAATAGTTCAGTGGGTATAAAATTGACGTTAGGGAAATTTCAATCTGGAAGATTGGCATCGTGAAAAGGTGGAGGGGAGATAGCGGAAATTGCTGACGAAGTTTCCGGCATCTTGGCTTTTTCCAAGGTGGCTTCTGAAGTGCACACATGTAAAATTTGATGTGAATTTTTTTATCAACGATAGTTTACCCTATGTGGGATTTGTGAGGTTTTTCACTCAAATTTAGTGGTGTTTCCTTCGTTTGACCTGTTGGCCGATTTGTGACACCACCTTGGAACTGCCACCAGCGATAGGACGCCGACAGCATGGTACCCGGTTTGACTCTCCTAGCCCTTCTTCAGAAGGTAAGTCGATATTCGAAGGCGTTGTTTGAGGTTCAGTGGGGCTGATTGAATAGTGCGGAATGGGAAGTTATGGCCTATTTTTTTTCAATAGGGTTTTAGGATAGCCTGAATGTTTTCTGTGAGATGGGGGTGAGATGCTTCTGCCAGCCTCTTCTGCTTTCCTTTGGCGGGTTCGACCGTCCCTTTTAGAAGCCCTTATTTCCGCCCTCGCCAGGACTCTCCTGTCAGCGTAGATCCCTCTAGGCCATTGAATCCTGGCCAGAGCAGACTGCAGGAGGTTCATCAGGTTGATGGTCACCATAAGGGGAAGCCGACATACTGGGCTATTCCCTTTTGTTACATCATCTAGGGACGCCAAAAAGGAGGAACAGAGGGGTTTAGCCCCGTGGGCTGGTAGGGGATACCTTCCCCATTCCAGGGATTCATCGTTCGCCGCCTCATCGTGCCTGCAGTGACCTATGCTGCACGCCATGCCACCAAGCAGCCTGTGATAGGAGCTTCACAGGATCTCTGAAGAGGACTTGTCACCATACCATATTTTGCCAGGTTTTTGTTAGGGATTTAGGGATTTTTCAAATTTTTATATAACTCGAAATTATCATCACCACTTTTAACCCCCCAAGTGCCCACTCTCCCCCATAGTACTATGAGGCAGTAGTTCTGATTGCGCACCTTTACACAGTATCAGTATATCACCCTGTTTGATTTGTGGGTTATGATGATTTCACTTATTTCACTTTCATTATTTGTTATAATTGTATGATCATTCATCATGTGATATGATTTTCGAGAACTGCTGTATAATTGTCACCAATTTTTACTGCAATATCATTTTATTAAGAATTACCTTAATAGAACCCTAGGCTGTCCTCTGCAGTGATTTTGGAGCTCTGTCTGTTTTTTGGCACATTAAATAGGTTTTAAATTTTACATGGTTTTATTCATCTCTTCATGTGTCTCAACAATCCAGGAAAATACTTGTGATTTTTATTCCAGAATATTATCTCATCAATACTCCTGGAACCTCAGTGATGTTCTCAATTTCTCTCTTGAACATATATATTTTTTAGCAAATTGAGTGGCGCCCTATATACTTGAATTTCTCAATGAAATTACTAGAAAAGAACTCACTTATCTGCTCTCCGATGAAAAGCTGCCGTTAGCATCTGTGTAACTTATTTTTTTATTCTTTTGATAATTATTTCAAAGTGGAGAAAAGTAGGCTACATAAATGGCGTCCAACAAGTAGGGCTCCGAAAATTCAAGTTTTTAGATTCAAGTTTAAAATTTTTTCGATTTTTTTGGATTGTGGAGTACACTGTGGATGAATGAAACTATTAAAATTTTGATTATAGATTATTGCATGGTATGAACAGGTGCGGATGAACAGTCATACTTTCCACTGAAAGACAATACAATTACGTTTGCGTTTATGCTGTTTGAGAGCACTGCAGGTGTCACGGTTTTTTTATAACATATTTTGGAGTTAGGCATTTTCCTCAATTAGTAAATTTTGCAACGTTGCCAACTTTGAAAAATTTTCTGATATTTTACTAAATTCTTTTTGGTAAATATTTTTGAGGCTAGTGAATTATTGGTAACATTTTGACAATTAATTCAGCCTTTTTATTTCGTCCAATTCTTGGGAGTGACATATCCTGATCTTTACTTTCATTTGTTTTTTCGATCTGCCAAGGTTTAGATTCAATATGGATTCTATTAAAGTGAGGCATCTGCTGGTAGCGGAATTGAACTATGAATTGAGAATAAGGGGTGTTTTTTCGGAACGTAATATGGATGATAAGAGGAAAATTTTAGGTCGTTTTTTTACCAAAGGAAGTCAACAGGGACAAAATGTTCTTGCTCTAGTTGATCCAGCATTTGATTTCGACACTGAAAGAGTGGAAATTGACAGTACTTTAACTTCGATCAATTTTTTGATCTGTGACTTTGAAGGTCCTACTTCAGACTCAACATACAAAAGAGCCAAGTCAAGAATATGCCATGTGACCAACAGAATTCAGAGAATCCATATTAATGTTAATAATGAAGATTACGAAACTGTTTTGAGATTTAAAAATGAGTCATATGCAACTGCTTTGCAATTGGATGCAGAATTACATGAAAAAGCACTTGAGCCACAAGACCAGGTTCAGGTAAATGCGCCTCTCATGAATTCCACCGCCAACCCATCCATGAGACAAAGTAATATTCAAAATTCTTTTGTACAAAGTACTTCAAAACCAATTCCTGTTTATAAGTTAGGTTTGCAATTCGATGGAGAACCGAAAAACCTCTTACCATTCATAGAACGAACCGAAGAGTTAGCACAGGCCAGACACATTTCAAAATGTGAC